TGCCCAGCAGAGGGAGGCCCCGCCCACCTGGCCAGGGCTTCACGATCAATGGTGGCCTGGGCCTCCCTCTGCATGGCAATCAGGGGGCGATGGTGGGCCCCCCGACCCATCGCATCACACCCGCCTTGGCTGGCCTGGCGCCAGTGTGTGTCAGCGTGGTCGTCCAGTCCAGACGGTCATTCGGTCGATTTGCGAATTATGCTTGTTATTATGGAATACGTTTAAAATCACATGCAGAGAATGCTCTGTTTATCCCCGTGGCCTCCTGTGAGCTCTCAGAAAGCAGCGGCGGGTGAACAGATGTGGTTCGCACGCGGCTGCCCCAGGCGTGGCTGAGGTCGAGTGTCACAAAGAGCCGGACGCTGTGCGAGTGCAGCCCCCGAACAGGCCGTCCACTGCAGGACGGTGTGGACAGGTGTCTAGGGCCGTAGGCGGTGGAGTTGTGACAGAGCTGCCACCTTGACGCAGGTGTGCAGCAGTTAGGGGTTAACAGGACACGGGGAAGAGCACGGAAGTGACCGGCGATACGTGTGTGTGTGTGTGTGTGTGTGTGTGTGTGTGTGTGTGTGCGCACACGCGCGCGCGGGGCAGGGGGGGGGCGGGGGGAGGTGAAGGGGCCCGCCTAGAGCTGTGAGTTGAACCTTTTCGATTTGTGTCATGATCACTCGCTGCGAGACACTTTAGACGGTAAATGTCTCTGGTATTTCAGCCTTCTGTTAATGAGGCAGAGGAGTGAGTGAGTGAGTGCTCCGCGAAGAGCTGTGTGCCTCCCTCCTGCAGCCGAGAGCCCTGAGGAAGGCTGTGAGGAAGGCCCGCGACCTGACCCAGGAGGAACCGAACCGGGGGAGTGTGCAGGGTCAGAGGGAGGAGGGGAAGTGGCTGGGAGGCTGTGGCAGGAACCCTGTGGCTTGTGCCTGGATGGGTTTGGCTGAAAGCTCTTTGGCTACAGAATGGGTCCCGCGAGGCCAGAAACGGTCCAGAGCTGTGGGCGAGGCTGGCAGAGGGGGGCCCTTCCCCCGAGGCTCGGAGCGTGTGCTGGGGCGGAACCCCAGCTGTAAGTGCCCTTTCTCTTCCTGGGAGGGAGGGCCGGCTGCTTCAGTGCACTCCCTCCGGAAGGGCTGTTTGATCTGCACACAAGTGTGCTGAGAGGCTGGGAACCCAGAGGACCAGATTGTAACAGATGGATCTGGCTCGCTCAAGGTGACTTGCCTGAGAATCTTCTAGAAAGCCGCTCGGGTGAAATACTGCCACAACTTGGTATATGCCAAGGTTTTAAAAAGATACTTTGTGGGAAACCCAAATGAAGAAGAGTTGCTGATAGTCCTTGGCTTATAAGGTCATTTTGTTTAAAGTACGTCGGAGGTGGAAAGGGTAGAACCCGTGAGAAACCAGCCTTTCGGGAGAGTTGATTTGCCTCCGTCCCAAAGCAAGTGGTAGAACTAGAACACAAACCACAACTTCTGGCCAGTGTTCCTGATGGAGACCTACTGGGTGCGTCCCATCCTCTGCTGCAGCGGTCCCCAAAGCGTGTGTCATCGCCCCGACTTTCCGGATGAAGGGACTGGCTGAGCGGTGACCGACCAGGATGCAGCCAGGGAGCAGGTGTGGAACCTGCCTGGACTCCAGGTCTGGGGAGCAGGGCCTTTCCCCTGCACCAGGCTGCCCCCCGCCCTCCACCCCCACCCCGTCTTCCAGCTTCTGCAGGACTCCATCCTCTGGTTGTCATGAGAGCACGGGGCAGTGATCAAGGAGGGGCTTATTGGGAGGGAAGCTGGCGCTGCCTTTCTGTGGGGCTTGGATTGGGGTGCAGTCAGGCCCTGGTGAGCCTCACTTGTCCACACTTCACCGGCTTTGCCTCCTCCCCTGGTGCCGCGGTGACAGGCAGGTGCTGGGCTGGGCCTGGATCCAAGAGGGCTGAGCGCGGAGCAGGCTGGTCACCAGGACACGTGGGCTCTGGTCCTGGTGCTCTTACTGCTGCAGATGCAGCCCGTTGTCCTGTTGGTCTCCTTTCACACACGTTGTCATCACGTGTAAACGGCTATTGCACTGGGTTATCTTTCAGGGTGTCTCCTAGCTTCTGCCTGTGGACAGTGCTGGCAGGTCGATGTGATGGTGATCCTTTCTGAGAGCTTCTATGCCCAGGGTCTGTGCTGGGCCTTTACATACACTGTCCCGTTTCCCCACGTCCAGCCGTGCTGCCCGTAGGCCAGTCTGCTCTCACCCACCCTCCAGGCCCCAAGTCCCTCTTGGGGAGAACAGGGGAGGCACCTCGTCTGGCCTGGCTGGGCCCGGCGAGTGGAGGGAGCGAGAGGAGAAGCTGAGCTGACTCAGGAGGGGCAGCAGAGCCAGCCGGGAGGACGTGTGTCCCGGGCAGCAGGCAGGTGGACAAGGTCCAGAGGCACCAGGACCATGGGGGTGGGGGTCTCCCCAGTCCTGGCCTGGCCTCCCTGTTCTGGGCCACGCTGCCCAGGGAAGACACTGGTCTGGTCTGCACACCGGCTGTCCCTGGTGGCCCCGCACCCACCCCTTCTCTATACAGTGGAGGGGGAGGGGCCCTACCTCGTCCTGAGGCTCCCGAGCACCTGTGGAAGGTGCGTCATCACAGGCACTGGGGCGTCTGCCACCTTCATCCCGGGGTCAGCATCCTGCCTGATCCTGGGGGCGGGGGGGGGGGCGGCCATAGAGCCAGCCAGGAGCAGGGCTGGCCCAGCGTCAGGTGCCTGGGCACCGACACCCTCTAGGCACAGCAGCAGCTGAGGCGGAGGCCCCACCCCTTTCGAGACCCGGGCTCGTCTGTGCCACCCGAGCTGCTGTCAGTGCCCGTGTAAAGGCGAGGCCCTTCCTTCCCCTTGTGCAGTGAGCGCCCACAGCCCTGCTCTCGGCCTTCTCGTCAGATGAAGAGGCACCACGTGGCCCGGGAGCAGCACCGGGCCTCCCTGAGCGGCACGGCCCGTGGAAGCCCCGCCCGTGGGACTTGGTCTGAAGGCCAGGGTTCGGGTTAGAGGCCTGGGCCTGGCGTCGTTAGGGGAGGCAGACAGGGCCAGGCCCAGCTCCCTTGGGGGCTGGCCACCAGCACTGCTGGCTCTGAGCCTGGCCCCTGCTGCCCGGGTCGGCCTGTCAGGGGGCACCCTGGCCACAGGAGTGGCTCCCGTCCAGTTTGGGGCTGCGGCTGGGCAGGGAGGGGCCCTGCTGGAGGGTCCACAGGGAGGGCAGCTGCCTGGGCTGGAGGCCGACTTCTGTCTGGGCTGTGCCACTGGCTCCATCCCAGCTGCCCACTCCTCCACGTGCCGTGTGACGTCTAGCAGCCTGACAGACCTGGGTTTGATGCCCCCGCCCCCTCCCCGCCAGGTCAGTAATTAACCATCTGCACTGTTTCCCTCTAGAGCAGGGAAAGCAGCACCCCCTCTGCAGAGCCCATCACCCAGGAAGTGAAGGACTGGGAGCTGTTGCTGTCCTCTCCCTCCTGCTGGCTGCCGGGAGACAGCTGTGTTCCCAGGCCCTCCCCCTCTGGGGGCACCGGAGGGGCCCTGAAAGGCGGGCCCCAGGGGCACCATGAAAGCCACACGCTTTTACTCTCACCTCCAGGCTCCACACCACACCTGTGCCCTGGCATGTACGTGCGCACCCGCTAAGCTGCGACCGTGGACTGTTGGGGGCGGGCGGGGGCGGGGGGGGCACCTCTCGTTATCCTTCTCCCGTCCTGGTCTGGCCCTGCCGTTCTCACCAGGGGCTGCTCGGCAGAATGCACCGCACGGCCATGTGTCACCCTGAGAAACCAGCTTCCAAACGAAGCTCTTCTGCCGTCCCCATGTCTAGGTGGGGAAACTGAGGCAGGGAGCAGGAGACACTTGCCTAGCAGCGTCCCCAGGGCTGTCCTTCGAGGCCTCTGGTTTCTCCGGAGAAGACGCCCACAGCAGGGGCGAGTACTGGCTGGCGGCTGGGTCTCACCTCTGGCTCAGGACAGGCCCCTCGACCACGGGCAGCGGCACTAGGCAGCCGGGCTCTTGCCCGAGAGACTCAGTCATGCCGTGCCCTCCGCCCTTCATGTGGCAAAAGCTGTGACTTTTGCTTCCAAAGCTCTGCAGCCTGGCGCACGCGGCGGGGGTGGGGCTGGGACCCAGGGTGGGCGCCTCACTGGGGTGTGTGTGTCCTTAGGAGTTTCGGAGGCGCTGAGCCTGGGGCTCGCTCTCTAAAACGGAGGTCGTGACACCATCTCACAGGGCGCCGGGGACTAAAGCCCATGTGTAGCGGCCTTAGGGCGCTTAGTGGGAGCTGTAATTTTGCTGTCGAGGACCCAGAATGCCTCACGTGACACCCCAAAACTGGCGGACATGTGCCCCCCCTCCAGTTCAGCCGTCTGGTCTGCCCCAGTGCTGGCCCCGCCTGTGGCCTGTGCAGGGTTCGGGGCTCAGGGCGCCGGGAGGCAGGTGCCACAGCCTGGGATCGGGATTTCCTGGGGCCACAGGAGCCTGTGGACACCCTGACTGCCTAGGGGGGGGGGGGGGGGTAAGGGGGGTGCGTGAGAGTCACTGAGAACAACCTGGACAGGGACGGAGGGAGAAAGGGCGGCCACAGGGACAGGTAAGCCAGTTCACAAAGGGGCTGGAGGGCGATGGGGTCTGGAGGGCAGAATGGCCAGGGCTGGCGGCTGCTTGTGGAGGAAGAGGAGGGAGCCCCGATGGGGGCGTCAGGGTGGAGCTCAGCTTTTCACCTGCTGAGTTCGAGATCCCAGGGAGGGAGCTGGGTCAGGCAGTTGTCGGTGAAAAGGGGGGATTCTGGCCTCCTGGGGGGCGATGAGGGAAGGGACTCGTCCAATCACAGGCCGGCAGGGTGAGCGTCCTGCCTGGCCCAGGTGCCCTCCTCTGGAGATGCCTCGGGGGCTGCCGGAGAGGGTGGGGTCCCTGGGTGGGGTCCCAGCAGCCAACCCCAACCCCAACCCCAGAGAGGACTGCAGGCTTCACCGAGGCCAGCGACCCAAGAACGCCTGCCAACCTGGGCTCAGTGCAGCTGCTTTTATTACAAAGCTGAGTGTGCAAAATGGCGTCCCTCCCCAGGACACGCCCACCCACCTCCAAACTCATCCCTTACGTCCTGTGAGGGTGGAAACTAGGGTTCGTCTTAAAAATACTCAGAAAGGCTCATGCGGAAATGAGAGAATGAGGAGCCACGTGGGCTCAGGGGTCGTCTGAGACGGCTCCACCCAGGTGCCTGGACGAGAGGGCGTGGGTGGGGCTGGGCCCCTGCTCACAGTGCTGCTCCCGAGGGGCCGGGAGCGAAGGCGACGGCAGAGGCTGGGCCACAGGCTGGTTCCGGTAAAAATGGTTTAAAACCCCAGCCGAGCACCCCCGTCCCCTGATCGGCCAGAGGAGGCACCAGCTCTGGGCGGTGAGGTCTGAGGCCTGTGTCCTCCTGGCCTGGCGTCCCCTCCCTGGAGGCAGGCGGCACCCGAGCGGCCAGGTGGGCTCCTGGGTCCCTCGTGTGGCCCTGGGTGGCCTCTGGGCCCCGGGCTGTCTGCCCGTCACCCCCAGCCCGGCGGGGCGCTAGGCTTCCGGGACCCTGTGCAGCGTCTGCTCTTTGGATTCCAACGAGGAGAACCTGTGCAGCGTCGGGGCCTGGAAGTGGAGGGTGGGCTTGAGCTGCAGGACGGGGAAGCCCTCCTGGTTCTTGCGGTTGAGCAGACTGACCCTGTGCGCCAGCTCGGGGCTGGTCTGGGGGGAGCCCGCGGGGCTGGGCTGGGCAAAGGGGGCTGGGTCCCAGGCCCCCTGGGACGGGCAGGGGTCGTCTGACAGGGAGGACAGCAGGTCCTGGACGGTGGTCTCCGCCACGGGCGGCTGGGGTGGCGGTGACAGGGGCAGGGGCGCGGGGCGGGCCGTGCTGCAGGCGCGGGAGGAGCACAGGGTCTGGCTGCTGTCGCTCTGGGCCCCGGTGACGGAGCTGCCAGTGGAGCAGGACGCGCTCTCGGAGGCGGAGGCGGAGCTCACCCAGCCGCCCTTGCTGCTGAGCTTCAGGGGCGCGTCCACCGAGAAGAGGTCCGAGGAGACGTCCGGCCGGTGGATGTCTATGGCAGCCGTGGTGACCACACACACGGCCGGATCCGGGACGCCGCTGTCTGCGAAACAGGAGGATGCTGTGACGTCGCCTCTATAGACTGTGGGTCCACACGCGGCAGGGCTGAGCCCCACCAGCCCTGGGAGTGGACGGTGGTGTGACCGTCAGAGAGCTCCAGACCCAATGCACACGTACGTCACATGCACAGCAACACTGACAACACAGGATCGCCAAGCACAAGTCATGGGAGCGGTGGGGCAAAGGGGAGGACGGGGACACTGCCCTCTAGATGCCGCCCTGGTCCCCCCTCAGCTTCCCTCACTCACAGCTCGCCCCCAGCACCCTACTGCAACTCGCCAAGAGCTGCCACCCTGTCTCCATCCAGCTCCCCACTCTAGCTCGTCCCCCTAGATTGGCCCCTAACACCCCTGGTACCTACCTAGTCCCCTATAGCTCCCCACGCTCCATCCCCACTCCGGTTCCCCATTCTAGGCCCCCCCCCCCCCCCAGCACACATCACCCTGGGTCACCCTCTAAGGCCCACCCTGGGTCACCACCTTCAACTCCTCTACTTTGAGCCCACAACCCGGGCCTGTGCCCTGACCGGGACTCGAACTGTGATCTGGTTCATAGGTCGATGCTCAACCACTGAGCCACGTTTTAACGCACGTGAGAGAGGGGAGGGGAGCAGGGAGCAAGAGACGGAGATGAGAGGTAGCAGAGAAACAGGAAGAGAGGAGGGGAGAGGAGTAAATGAGGCCCCTAGCGCCGGACACGAGCTCACCCCACGAAATAGCTCAACCCGTACTCCCCCTCCAGCTCACTAACCTAGGTCCCCACTGGCTTGAACCCTAGCATCCCACTCATGCTGGCCCCCCTAGCTCGCCCGACTAGCTCACCCCTAGATCCACGCTAATGCTCCCCCTCTATTTCTCCCCCCCACCCCACTCTACCTCACCCCTTAATTCACTCCTCCAGCCAGCCCCCATAGCGGCCCAGCATAGCTCACCCCATACATGCCCTCGCGCTCCCCACACCAGCTGCCCACCCGGCACCCAGCTCACTCTACTAGCTCCCCCTGTGGGGTGCCCCTCTGACATCCCAGTCAAGCTGGGACCATAACTCCCCACTTTAGCGCCCTCTTTAGTTCCTCCCTCTCGTTCAAACCCCAGCTCCCCACACGCGCTCCCCACTCGCTAAAAACCCCTAACTCACCTCACTAGCTCCCCACTTTAGCTCCATGTAGCCCAGCTCCCAGGAGCCCCATATTTGTTCCCCACTCTGCCACCTGCCAGCTGCCTAGACCAGCTCCCGCCTAGCTTGTAACTCGGTTCCCCACTCAAGTTCACCCCTAGCCTGACCCCTAGGTCCCCACTCTCTCCCTGCTCTCAATCACCCCCTAGAGCCCAGTCAAGCGCACACCCTAACTGCCCACTCTAGCCCCTTGCACCCCTGCAGTCTCCATTTACCCACTGGCTTAGTCCTCGCCCACCCCCCTCAATGCCCACTCTGGATCACCCCACCCTCTAGCTCCCCACTGCACCTCCTCACTGTAGCTCCTCTAGTTCACACCACTAGCTCCCCAGTCTCGCTCCCCACTCTGGATCACAGCCCCAGATCCAACTACAGCAAACTGCTCCAGCTCACCCCTCCAGCCCTAGCCCACAGCACGAACCCTCACTGCCCCCTCTAAGTTACCTCACCCCACTTGCTCCCCATGTGCCGCACCACCCTCGTACGCTCCCCTTGGGCACCCTCTTGCTGCCCACTCTAGGTCAGCCACCCACCTCCCCTCTGAGCTCCCCACAGGGACTTACTAGCTCCACAATCTCGATCACCCCTCCAGCTCACTGCCTAGCTGTGACCCCGACTGCACACACTAGCTCACTCCTGAGGCTCACTCCCTAGTCCCCCCACTAGAGCTCACCAATCTAGTTCACCCCCTAGACAGCCACTCCAGCTATCCCCGCAGCTCAACCAGCTCCCCACCCCCCCAGCTCAAACACCTGGCTGCCCCTCTAGCTCCACCTGTAATTTGCCATCCTAGCTGCCCACTCTAGCTCACCCCCCTTGATCTCCCTAGCACCCCACTCTGTCCCCGCCCCTAGCTAGTCCTGCTAGCTCCCCCTGAAAGCTCACCCCTCTAGTTCACCCCTGTGAGTCCCCACACTAGAACCCCACTCTAGCTTGACCCCTAGCTGGACCATCTGGCTACCTCTCCAGATCTCCCCCCTCGTTCCTTATTCCAGCTCACCCCTCTAGCTCCCCACCCTCCTCCCTAGTTCCCGCCTTCAGCTCCCTGCTTCAGCTCACCCCCACTCTAGCTTGACCCCCAGTTCCTCACTCTATACTGGCCCCTCTAACTCCCCACTAGCTCACCCCTCACCTCTCGCTTTTAGCTGCCTCCTACAGCTTGCTCCCCATCCTAGCTCAACCCCCTAGCCTGCCCCATACCTCCCTGTCCCCCCACTCTGGCTGCCCCTCTGCTCGCCACCAGCTTGCACCCCTCTCTTGGCCCCCTAGCTCCTTCCCTGTCTCCCTGCTCTGCCTCCTCATGGAGCCCCTCACTCTAGCTCACCCCACTCCAGCTCTCATCCCTCCAGACCATCTGCCTAGTTCTGCCCCTAGCTCCCCCTCCAGCTGGCCGCCCAGCACACCCCGTTTTCCTACCTAGCTGCCTACTCAGGCTGCCACACTCGCTCACCCCGCGTTTGCCCCCTAGCTCCCCACTCTGGCCCCACCCATAACCCATCTCCCTTGCTCCTACTTTATCTCAACTGTAGCTCCCACTCTAGCTCGCACCCCCACTTGCCCCTCTAGCTTACCCTTATAACTCGTTGTGGACTGACCCCCTAACTTGCTCTCTAGCACCTCACTCTAGCTTGACCCCTAGATCCAGACTCTAGCTCCCACCCTTTACTGACACCTTATTCTGCCCCCATAGCACCCCTCTAGCTGGACCCTCTAGCTCACCCCCTCGTCTGTCCATCACCCCACTCTCTCTTCTGACTTGGTCCCCCCTTTACTTCTAGCTCCCACGCCAGCCCACCCTTCCAGATCAACCTCCCAGTCCCACACTCGAACTGCCCACTCTAGTTCAGCCCCCATAACTCAACCCGAGTTCCACTGACTCCCCCACCTCACCCCTTGCTCCCCACCCAGCTCCCAGCCTTAAAGAGCCCCCAGCTCGCCTTCCTCGCTCCCCAGTTACGCATGCCCCTAGCTGCTGCTCTAGCTGCTGCCCCAGCTCACCCCACTCCCCACCCTGGCACCCCACTTCCCACCCTAGCACCCCACTCCCCACCCTGGCACCCCACTCCCCACCCTAGCACCCCACTGCCCACCCTGGCACTCCACTCCCCACCCTAGCACCCCACTCCCCACCCTAGCTCCCCACTCCCCACCCTGGCACCCCACTGCCTACCCTGGCACCCCACTGCCCACCCTGGCACCCCACTGCCCACCCTAGCTCCCCACTTAGCTGAACTCACTAGCTCAGTTTCCCATTTCCCCATCTACCTCGCTCCTTAGCTCCCGTTTAGCCTGCCCCCCAAGATCACCTCTCTGGGTCACCCTTCAGCTCCCCCTCCAGCTTGCACCCCTAACTGCCCACTCCAGCTCCCTCCCCACTGTAGCTCCCCCTTCTTGCCCCTCTAGCTCACCCACCAGCTACTCTGGTTTAGCTCCTACCAGAGGCCATCCCTTCAGCTCCCCACTCTAACTCACCTCTCTAGCTCTGCCCATAGATCCCCTCACTAGCACCCCACTCTAGCTTGCCCCCTCACCCCGAGACCCCCTTTCCTTACCCCTCTAGCTCACCCCTCAGTTTGCCCTCATTGCTCCCCCTTCTACATCACCGCTTAGCTCACCCCCCTGGCTGCCCTCAGAACTCCCCACTCTGCCTTCCCCCTTTGGTTCCCCCTCGTCTCCGTCTCCCTGCTCTAGAGTCTCAGTGTTTCCAAACACCCGGCTCTCCGTTCTAGCTCCCCACTCCGGTCAGCCACCAGGTGGCTCCCTATTTCCCCAAATTGGCCCCCCGCCCCCCGCCCCTGCTCAATGCTCTTGGTTGCTCCCAGATCCCCCTCGAGCTCACCCTCCAAACCTCCCTCTGAACTGCCCGGCTGACTCCCCACTCTGACTCGACCACTGATCTCACCCCCCCCCCCCAGCTGGGCCCATGCTCCCCACACTTGCTCCACAATCTCACTCCACACCCTGGTTTGCCCCAGTACCTTGCCCCCTGGGTCCCCCTCTAACGCGGCAACATAGCTCCCCACTCAGCTCGCCTCCAGAACTCTCCCCTGTAGCCCCCCCGTCTCCCAGCCCCCCTCCAGCCAGACCATCCTCCCTTCCCAGCAGCTCTGGTGGCACAGGGCAGGCCAGTCCTGCGGGCTGGGCAGGGGTGGGGGGCTGAGGGCGCTGTGATGTGTGGTGAGGACGCGGCAGGCCCACCAGGGGCTGGAAGGTGAGTGACGGGGAAGCTTCGAGACCAAGACATTCGGAGGAGAGTTTCACTGACTCCACAGGCTCTCAGATGATTTGTGCCAGAGACGCTCAGCACAGCTGGCGGGCGTGGGTGTGGCCGTGACCACAGCTGCTGAGAGGCCGGCACCCCACCTCGGGCACCCTCCCCCTGCTCCTGTGACGCCCTCGAGTCTGCAGGTGAACCCCTAGGGGGGGGGTGCACCCTCGCTGGCCTCTGGGTCACCGTCAGCAGCACGCGCTGCCCTGTCCCATCTCCAGAGGGGCCCGGGCCCCCAGCGTGTCCAGCCATCATTTCTCACGTCACGTCGATCTCTGCCGCGACACAGCTCCTGGGCAGAGAGGGGCAGCTGGGCACCCTTCTCCCTCGAGGATGGGAGCCCTGCATCCGTGCAGCCTCCTGCTCCTGCCTAGGGAGTGCGAGGAAGTGGTGGAAGGGGAGCTGAGGGAAGCAGGGGTGAGGCTCCAGGGCTGGCCGGGAGGGGCATTTCCAGCTGCCTCCAGGGGTGCGTGTTTGGCGCATCTGTGGGAGCCCCACGCCTCAGGCACCCCTCGTCTCCAGGACAGCAGCACAGACCCATCGCCCCCAGCTGGTGACAGCCGAGTAAGCTTCACGCCTGACCCAGCTTCGTCCCTTCCCGTTCCGCCTCCTTCCTTGTCCTGGAAGTGCCCACCATGGGGCTGAGGGAGGCGCAGGACAGACGGCCAGGACGCACAGCGTCTCCGGGCTCCTAGGAACACGGGGTTAAAGCCGTGGCTGCTTCGCAGGCTCTCCACCCCAGACCTTGGCCCCGGGCCCAATCGGGCATCAGGGGCCAAGGGCCTAGAGGCGACCGGCTGAGGGACAATAATGGCCAAGCTGTTGCCTCCAGAGCTCCGATCCGGGGAGGCAGAGCGTGCCTGTGCCGGGAATGCTCGCCTGCGTCCAGGCGGCTAACCGTGGCTCCCGGGGCTCCCGGTCAAGGTGCCCGCGTAGGCCAAGGCTGTAGCTCCCCCCCCCAGGCCCCCGCCAGCACCTCCGGCCTCCGGCCACCACATCAGGATGACAGCCCAGCGACAGAACGACCGTCGTTGAGCACCGCCTGAAGCCCTGGCCCGTCTGCTCCACGCCCAGAGCACCGCGACTGAAGGACCGGGTTCGATTCCAGTCAACAGCACGTACCTGCAACGAAGGTCCAGGTGCGTGTGGGAGGCACCAATGGCTGTGTCTCACTTTCTCTCCCAGTTCCTTCCACTGTTGCTTTGCCGAGCCCTCCCCGTGCAGGGCATTCCGAGACCCTGTCCCCCCCAACGGCTTCCTGGCTTTTCCCTACGAACGGCCTGTCGTGCTCACGCTGCAGACCCTCCTACAGCCTCTCAGCCCCAAACAGCTCTGGCCTCGGCGTGTCCCAGACGTCTGAACAGCCCGAGCTCGGCAGAGGAGCCGCAGCCTCAGTTTGCAGCTCAGGCTCCCCAGGCCCCTCCCAGCCCAGCACGAGGAGCCGCCGTCTGCAGACCACAGACCCCTCCGCAGCTCACACCCCGGGGCCAGGCAGGGCCCAGGCAGCAGCTGACCTTGGCCTCTACCTGCCAAGAGACCTCAGAACAGACACGCCTGGTGCCCAGCTTCCGACCAGAGCACAACCCAACCACGAACACACGCACGACCAACGCGTCAGGCACCAGCCCGCTCGCCATCCTGCTCCGTGGGCTCAGCCCCTGCACCACAGCTCCTCACGGCCGTCACGCCAGCCTCACCAGCAGTCGCCGAGGGTCGCCCTCCCACGGATGTGCCAGAGCCACAGGAGGGCACCTACGCCCACACGAGGGACACCTGGCTGCCCGCTCGGGTGCCACCGGGCACCTACGACATGAGGCCACTCGACCAAGACCCGCAGACACGGCAGCTCTACCTCACGCACAGACACACAGAAAGGCAGCCAAGAGGAGACAAGCATGTCCCAGAGGAAGGAACAAAACTCCAGACCCCGGGGAGGCGGAGGCGAGGGGCTCCCCACGCGGGCAGCCTACCTGGCGAGGGCTGCAGCGGCTCCGCGTCGCCCTCAGTCGCCGTGTCCTCCACCACGTGGTAGCGGCTGCGCGGCCGCAGCACCTGTGGCGCCCTCAGCGCCTCCTCCCGCTCCGCGGCCAGGTCCAGGTCCTGCTGGGCCAGGTGCGCCCGCAGCTGCCGGATCTCAAACTGCAAGAGGAGAGGGTTGTGGGTCTGGGGGGCGAAGGTGGGGTTTGTGGAGAGGCAGGCGGGTACAGACCAGCGGTCTGGGGCCCTGTGCTCACGGGGGTTCTGAGCACCCAAAGGCTGGACTGCACCACAGAGCCGCCTCCAGGTAGTAAGTGTGTCCGGCCTCACCCGCGGGCCCTGCTGAGGCGGAACCGGAAACAGCTGTGCTTTGTGGGAAGCACCTGGAGGCCGCGGGGAGCCTGGGTTTGAAGCCCCGTCCGGTGTCTGTGCTGATGATCTGCAGCGGGGACCACCCAGGGCACTGACTAGCTGGCGTCCTCCCCCCAGCGCTGCACCCCGACCCCACTCACAGGCTGCACCCCAACCCCACGCTGTTCCCCACCCCGCTCACAGGCTGCACCCCGCTCCCATGCTGTTCCCCACCCCGCTCACAGGCTGCACCCCGCTCCCATGCTGTTCCCCACCCCGCTCACAGGCTGCCCCGACCCTGGTCTCAGGTGAGGCTGACTCTGGGCCTCAACAGCCCAGCACTAAAATGGGGCCGTTGGCCTCAAAGGGTGAGAAATCGGCTGACATGTGCCAGGGTGGCCTCGGCCCGGGAAAGGGTTCCAGCGGCCCCTCAGGCAGAGACTCTGAGGTCACAGAGGCCCAGAGGCAGCCCCCTGACCTCTGGGGGGAGGGGAGCCTCCTGCCAGGCCGATGGGAACTCCCGTGGGCACACCCAGCCCTTCTCCAAGGCTGCTCCTCGGGCGGCAGGCCCAGCTAATGGCCTCCGGGCCGTTTGGAACAGATGCATTATTGATAACTTGTAATCGACAGCACGCTGCCCGCGAGTGTCCCACTGGACTTCAGGCCAGACAGCCGGAGGCCGGGGCCTGCCCAGCCCAAGGCCACGTGGTAGACAGAGATCGTGGCATCTGAGGCAGAGCCTGGCAGTGAGGGGGCCGGGAGGTGGGCCTGAGAACACCCACTGCAGGGCCCCTGGGCAGGCCTCTGGGAGGGACGGGGCCTGCGGTGGAGACAACATGAAGCGAGTTTTCGTGCAAACTGGCCCAATGGGGGACAGCCTGTCCTGGACTCAGGGAAAAAGGAGGTGCAGGCACCGCCCTCCTTAATGCACGTCGTTAGCTGAGCATCGCTGACCAGAGAACCAGGTCCCCGGGGAAGCCGCACGCATTACTGGAGTGAGGGGGCCCCGCAGGGCTGGGCTGTAATGTGCTGGGGGGGGGGGGGTGGCCCCTGTGCGATGGGACTCCCAGCGCATCTCTGCCTTCGATGGTCTGGGCTGAGTGCAGTGGACACGCCTTGGCCGATCGATGCGCACTCTGGCCGGAGCGTGAGGGCATCTAATGCAGCAGCAGCCATGTCCTCCCGTCCTGTTAGTGCTGCCGGCACAGACCGCCGGCCTGCACGCCCGTCTGCTCCTGGGACGCAGCCAGTGTTGATTCCCGTTAGGGCTGCCGTTGTTGGGGACAATAAACACCAGGAGACAGCGGCAAACTTATGATTTAGGAGCAGGGGAGCCGAGTGCAAACTTGGCCCCTTGCCATCCACTGTGAAATGACGGGTAGTTGGCCATAAATTTAAATTATGGCAAAAGGATAACATCAGTTATTCTTCTGATGGCTAATTTTATCAGCTAAATAGGTTTGTCATTAAAGCTATCGGCTGTTTTACAAATCACTTCCCATGTTTTTTTAAAACACACTTGACATCCCGCAGCGGAGACCTTGAACAATCCAGGTAGCGAAGGCTATTGTGCTGAGGGGGGGCTCCCTGGAAGGAGCCAGCGCCAGGCGCCCCCAGAGTCCGGACAGAGCCCTTTCCTGCTGCTTCTGGCCACGGAGGGCACTGCGGCCTCAGGGCCGAGGCCCAGCGAGCGATCGGCCATCAGCATTGTCTCGGGGCCCCGGGCATCCACAACCAGGCGCAAGGCTGGCGCAGGCGCCCCGGCTCCCTGACGGGGGGCATGACCTGCCCGTGAGGGGCCAGAGTGGGTGGAGGGAGGGGAGCAGGACAGCTGACAGGTCTTGGCCTGATGGATGCGCCCCCACCTGCCTCCCCGAGATGCCTGTGCGTGGGGTCAAGATGATCACCTGCTTCTTAAGGGAAAAGGCGGGGGCGGGCACTGGGGCAGGGGGCGTCACCAAGCGAGATGACGCCTTTGGCTCCATGGAAAGGGAGAGAGGGGGCCCGTCATGAGGACGGGACTGGTGACTGTGCAGGGGCCGGCTTCCTCCTCAGCTCCTTAGGTGTGACTGCAACTGAGCTCCGCCCACGGGTGGTGGCAGAAGCGACGTCGCCACCTTCAGGCCCAGCCAGTAAGAACCTGTGCACATCCCTCTGTCCCCTGGGCTAAGGGAGAAATGCCAGGACCTGGAATTGGGAGGCGCCTGGAGGCAGTGAGGGACACAGGGCCCTTGGCTCCCAGCCTCAGCCTGCCCCGTCCAGGTGGCCATTCCTGCAGGAGGAAGGCGGCCCACAGCCCCGAGGCCACTCCCGCTTCCCTGATGAGCGCGAGGCACTGGACTCGATACCACGGAGCTACCAGCTCTGACCAACTCGACATGAGCAACAATCCCTGACCGTGCACTTGTCGGTGGTTACCCAGTGATTCAGCATCTCTCTCTCTCGGTTTACATTTTCTGAGGCTCCAATGAGCCAGACTGTATAGAGAGATAGAGAGAGAGAGAGAGAGAGACAGAGATAGAGAGAGAGACAGAGAGAGAGACAGAGAGAGAGAGATAAGGTACAGGTACAGATAGGTATGGATATGGATACAGATACAGATATAGATAATGTCCTGTGGGACATTCCACAGGCTTCCCACCCTCCGGCGCCTCCTCCAGCCGGGAGAGCCGCCCAGGGAGCAGGGACCCAGGTTCCCCTCCTGGCCGGCCGGCCCTCTGTGCGCTCCCAGCCTGCTCGCTGGTGCCAGGTGTCCTGCAGAGCACGCAGCCTTGCTGCCCGCCCGCCCCCAGCCCCGCCTGCGGACACTGCCATCCCCACCCCTGAACTCCCACAGACAAGGACATGAGGGCAAAGGGGGGCACGACCTGGCTACAGTCCTGGGGACGGAGGGTCCCCGAGTCTTCACCACAGTCCCCAGAGAGCAAAGCACGGCTGGCACTCAGGACTGTCTGGGCCCAGCAGACAGGCTTCCCCTGCGACAGAGACGCTGTGCCCAGAAGACGAGGGCTGAGCTGCCGGCTCGGCTGGTGCAGTCTGGAGAGCGGAGTGGGTGCCAAGGGCCAGTGCAAAGAACCTGGGCCTGGCTGGGCCTTCCAGACGCACCCCGCCCCCCCATCTCTGATCTCAGCCCTGCACAGACCAAACAGAACCCCTGTGCCCACAGTTACCCCCTGCTCCTGGCAGATCTGCGTCAGCCTCTCCAGCTGCTCGTCCTGGACGACCTTGGCCTTCTCGTACTGCTGGATGACCAGCTCCAGCTCCACCTTCACGGGCAGGACGTAAGCTGTGGCAGAGACGGCCGTGAGGACCAAGGCCAGCCAGCAGGTCGGGCCGAGGCGCATCCCTGAGGGCCCGGGGCCGCGGGATGCCAGGGCCCAACAGCAACCAGAGGGGGGGGGGGGGGGGGCGGCCCTGCCCTGTGGGCTGAGATCTGTCCTCCTAGTGGCAGCACCTCCACTGGGCCAAGGGCTCCACCCTCCTGGTCAGGACAGGGGAGCCAGCGTGTGTGTGTGTGTGTGTGTGTGTGTGTGTGTGCGCGCGCCCCCTCCCACCCAGGCCCCTCCTCTGGGGGCACATGCTGGTCTATCACCACCTTCTGGAAACAGGGGAGCCACCGGGTCAGGACCCAGCATCTGGGGGACAGGCTCAGAGCAGGGCAGCCAGGCCCCGGGAGGGGGAGGCAGAGGAGGGCAGCCAGGCCCCAGGAAGGGGGAGGCAGAGGAGGGCAGCCAGGCCCCGGGAAGGGGGAGGCAGAGGAGGGCAGCCAGGCCCCGGGAAGGGGGAGGCAGAGGAGGGCAGCCAGGCCCCGCGAAGGGGGAGGCAGAGGAGGGCAGCCAGGCCCCGGGAGGGGGAGGCAGAGGAGGGCAGCCAGGCCCCGGGAGGGGGAGGCAGAGGAGGGCAGCCAGGCCCTGGGAGGGGGAGGCAGAGGAGGGCAGGGAGGGGGCCCAGAGACGGAGCGTGAGTCACGAGGGCTGAGGGAGCTGGGGCTGAACCCACCAGCCAGCAGCTCCCAGACACACTGGCTGTTGGCGAGCAGACAGGCCTGGGGGCACCCGGCTGGGCCTTGATGGACACAGAGCAGCACCTCAACCAGGGACCCGAACAGCCGGTGGCAGCTGCAGGGGCACTGGCTTGTGAGGAGCTAGTCTTTCCAGGGCAGGCCCGGCTGTCGGCTCTCAGGTGAGGGGCGACCACCCAAGCCAACGAGAAAGCCATGTCGAGTGCATGAGTGACCTCTGACCTCTGAACTCAGTGTCTGTGTGGGACAGCGGGCAGCATGTGAGCAGTTCCTGAACTGACCCTGAGGGAGCAGCGACAGGCTGGGCTCTCCCGCGAGTCCCCGCCCACCACCCTGAGCCGGGGACCCCAGCCCGCCCCGTGGAGCCCTCCGGACACTCACCATCGATGACCCTCTTCACCCGCCAGATGCGGAGCAGGATGATGAGGCTGATGGCGTCCCAGGGGCTCCGGGGCCCGTTGGCCACAGTGGACGCCACCATCGGGGCCAAGGACAGGACGATCACGGCCCCGTCAAACACCTGGGGAGGGGGTTCCAGTGCTGGGCATCCTCGCTGCCCCAACCAGAGCGCCGGCCAGCCCGCCCCTGCCCCGGCCCCGCTCCTGTCCCCACAGTGAAAGGCCCCACCCCGGGCAGTCTCCCCTGACGCGCTCAGCATTTCGGGACTCCCCCTGCCCCCCCTCCCCCGTCCGGTGCTCCTGCGCACGCTCCACGCTCCGTCCAGTGACCCCCGCCGCCCCCCAGCTGGTCCTCCGCTCAGAGGGGCTGGGCTGCTCCAGCCTCCCCCCCCTCTGGGCTGGGCCTGCAGCCCCACGGCCCGTCCCTTCCCCTGGGCAGCTGGAGCCCAGAGTCTGCCCCGCGTCTCTGTTCTCGAATCTCTGCTCTCTGTTCTCAGGAGGCAGGGCCAGGACAGGCAGGTCCCAGCCTTGTGACCCTGCAGCTCCAGCCTTCCTGAGACCTCAAGGCAAGTCCGTCTGCTCAGAGAAAGAAGCTAAAAATGGGTGGGAGGCAAGGCAGGTGGGCAGTAGGCAGCCAGGCCTCCCGCCTCCCGACCCAGCACATCCCAGTCTCGGCTCGGGGGGCAGGCCCAACCCAGAGCCCGGCCCGCTCAGCTCCCCACCTCAGGGCCATCAGACGGCACCCACTGGTTTTAAAATACATTTCAAAACGATTCAAGAATAAGTTAAAGTTCTGCAGGACTGTGTGGGGACTGTTTAGACCCCTTTCCTGGGAACTCTCTCCTGTTCCCTCGCGGGGACCCGCGTCCAGGGTGGGGGAGCAGCGTGTGACCGGCCCTGGCCCCGGGGGCGGCTTCGGGGACCCTGGCCTCACCTCGATCTTGTTCTCGATGTAGTCCCAGATCCCCAGCACCACAATGCGGAGGACGGTCTGAGGGAGACACAGGAGGGGTGGGTGACGGCCCGGCCCCACGGAGGCTCCGGACCTGGAGTCCTGTCCAGCACGGGAAGCTGTCCCCTCCACCCAGTGCCCTCTCCACCCGACCCGAGTGCCCATGAGGGTGCCAGCCCCTCGCTCATGTCCTCAGGGCTCCCCGGCCCACAGCACAGGCTCCGAAGCCCCCTCTCCAGGGGCAGCTCGGGCACCGTGATGCCACCTGCCAAGGGACAAATGTGCAAGCTCCTCCCCCTTCGGCCCGTGGCTCCCTCCCCGTCTCCCTCTCCTTCGTGCACAGTCACTGCAGCTTCTGCTGGAGACACTGCCCAGTCAGCCGTGCCCACGCGACCACGTTCTGTGTACAAGTTCCGGGCTGTGCCCGTCAGGGGTCGGGGTCAGGCTCTTCCCCCTTTCCCTCTCCCCCAACACTAGGCTGTGGTGCTGGGGCGTCTCCCGTGGGGCGGGGCAGCCGGGGGTGTGGGTCCCCCCAGCTCCCAGCCGTCCTCCCCGGGGAGGCAGAGGCCCTCCGCCGCCTGGTGACGGGCTGTCCGCCCCTCGGGCCTTGGCTCCAGGTCACCTCTGTGAGGCCGCTCCACACCCAGGCTCCGTGCTCCCCTCAGCATCTGGGAGCCCTGGGAACATCACCCCTCCCCCAGCACCTGCCCAGGCCCGTCTCACCAGAGGGGCCCCGTCCCTGTGAGCAGGACAACACCCTCGGGGGAGCACGTGGTCCTCGTGCACCAGCCCCTCTGCTCATGCAGGACGGGGTGCATGGGGGAGGTGGGGCTCCCGTTATTCTCTGTTATCCTGTTACCCCGTTACTGCTGCACCCCACCCTGTCTTCTACCAGGTCCAAGGTCAGGGGGCCCCCCATCCTCCTCACTTTGCCCCTGGAAGCCGGGGCCTGGCCCAGCCGGGTGTGGGGGGAGGGGTGGGCTTGTCTGAGGCAGGGACGGAGGCAATAAACGCTGCAGACAATAAACCACAGCAGGGGGACTGCAGGGAACCTCAGAAACTGATCACACGTTTCTGTTGGCAGCACAGACACATGGCACAGTCTCCAAGGTTTGCATGGAGCTGGTGGGCAGGACGCCGTGGGGGAGGGGAGGGCCAGGAAGGGCAGGGCACTCGGGGGCAGCAGCTGGGAGCCGCACTCCTTTGAGGCTGAGGCACCTCCAGGACAATGACCTCGGAGGGCTGCCGGGACCCCGGGGATCTGCCCCCAAGTCTGACCCTTAGCCCTGGGTTCACCTGTCGATTCCACAGGCTGCAGGAGAGTGATCTGTGATTCACTGATGCTGCCCACATACCCCACACCCAACCCACACCCAGGATTCTGGACGCCAGAGAGACAGGGAGAGAGAGAGAGAGAGGGAGAGAGACAGGAAGAGACAGGGAGAGAGAGACAGAGAGGTGAGCAGACTTGCTAGCTAGGAGAACTGCATTTCCATGTGTAACGCCCCAGGCCTTCAGACCGCCACGCCCCCAGCAGGAAGCCAGTCTTGTCACTTTCCTGGGAGACCCTGCCTGCAGCCCCTCCTCAAACACAGGCAGGATGCCCTGTGACAGCCTGGGAGCTGCCGGAATGTGTGCAGGCAGAGGGAGGGCTGGGGTCCTGCTCCCACAGGTCAGCGCCCTGGGCCGTCCGCTCCCACAGCCCCCTCCCGGGAGGAAGAGGAGCCACAGGGCCTACCTCGGAGAAGAACACGGACAGGATGGCCAGGCTGATCCAGTGAATGACGCCGGCGAACTGGAAGGCGCTGGAAACTGCAACAAACAGAGGAACAGGCAGTGTCGGGAGCGAGGACGTGGATGCATCAGGAGTCCAGCCGCCGGGAGGCTCAGGTCTGGACGGAGTCAGGTGGTGTCCAAGGTGGTGGAGGGGTGGGCCGGCAGGCCATGCTTTCCTCTACATGCCCCCCCCCCCCCAGCCCGCCTCTTGGGGTTCCAGCTGAGCCCTGCCGTCTCCAGGGGCTTCGGGAAACATGGGGCTTTCGGACCCGGGGCGGCTTGTCAGTCTAGATGAGCTGCCGGGACGGCCCACAATCAGCCCCAGAGCCACACGTGAGTGGGGACTGAGGCCCCTCACTGTGACTTTTCTCTCTGCAGGCGGAGGTGGTGGTGTCGGCCAGGCTGTTTCAGGGAACAGCTGGAAGGAGAACTGGAGGAGGGAGCCGGGGGCCGGGGGAGGCCAGACCCCCAAAGTGGCAGAGCATGTGGCTGGGTCTGCCACGTTGCCCAGTGGCTCCAGCAGCCAGGGTGCCAGCGAGGAACAGCCGCCATGCCAGCTCCCACCCCTGCCACCGGCACCAGCTCCAGAGGCACCAGCTCCAGAGGCCCTTTATATACAGGAGCCAGGTCAGCCTCCGACCGTGCAGGCACATTCACCAGGTGGCGGACCCGAAGCAGGTGCCAGGGCCCAGGGCAGGGCCAGGGGGGCTCTGATGGAGACTGGGCTGCGGGGTGCTCCCTGGGGCCCAGGGCAGGGCCAGGGGGCTCCGATGGAGACTGGGGTGCAGGGTGCTCCCTGGGGGACAGGGCAGGGCCAGGGGGGCTCCGATGGAGACTGGGCTGCGGGGTGCTCCCTGGGGCCCAGGGCAGGGCCAGGGGGCTCCGATGGAGACTGGGGTGCGGGGTGCTCCCTGGGGGACAAGGCAGGGCCAGGGGGGCTCTGATGGAGACTGGGCTGCGGGGTGCTCCCTGGGGGACAGGGCAGGGCCAGGGGGGCTCTGATGGAGACTGGGGTGCGGGGTGCTCCCTGGGGGACAGGGCAGGGCCAGGGGGGCTCTGATGGAGACTGGGGTGCGGGGTGCTCCCTGGGGGGCATGGCAGGGCCAGGGGGGCTCCGATGGAGACTGGGGTGCGGGGTGCTCCCAGGGGCCAGGCGTAGGAGGTGCTGGCAGGACACCCTGGCAGTGGGGCCTAAGGGGGCACAGGATGCCGCTGGAACAGGTGCTGCTTCCCGACTGGGCCACAGCGGGGCCCGCACTCAGCTCAGGGTCCCCTGGGCTGAAGGACGATGCCAGGGTCACCACAGGGGCAGGTGGACCCCACACCCTCCCCCAGAGCTCTGAGGCTGGGGAACCCTGGGGTGGCAGACCCCGGGTCTGGAGTGGGGGTGGGGTGGGGGACTCGGGCTCCCCGGGCGTTGGGCCAACATGACCCTTAAAAAGGAGCCCGGAGACGCCAGTCTTCCGTCTCGGCCACCGGAAGACTCGTGGGAAGAGGCGAGGCCTGGGCTCCGATGACTCCGAAAACAGAAACCCTCTCCCTGTTGTCTCTCCAATGAATTCCTGGGCCTTTTTACGGCTGCTTCAGAAGAGCTCTAAGTCTCTGTGTTTTATGGGATTTAAGATGCCTTTTATGAGCCGCTTTGGATCTCCCACCAAAGCCGATCTCCGGGAGATTTCATTTTAAGCCACGTTCCAGGGTGGGCCAGGCCCTCAGCCCCTCGGTGCCTGTCAGCCCACCCCAGGGAGAGAGACTCGCTGTGGACAGGCCTCGTAAAAAGCAGGTGGGGGGGGGGGAGGTGGGGGGGGGGCCCCCCACCACGTGGTGTAACTGAAGACAGGGCGAGGGTACCGTGCTGGCCACCTTGCGCCTGAAGATTCTCTGACGGGAACCCAGGGAGCTGACGGGGCCCCTCCCTGTCGGGGCGGCTGTGGGCCTGGGAAGGAGCCTGAACCCGAGGCGCTAGGGCAGGGCCTGGAGGCGCCTGAGAAACAAGTCCCGGCTCTGGGGTGACTGGTCCACGGTCCTGGGTGTGGCCAAGGGCAGGAAAGGAAACCCTGGGGGGAATGATCTCATCTTTTGTCTGTGGCCTTGAACGACCCACCTTCTGAACTGGGGCCTGTGGGCACCAGGAGTCCCAGCCCCTCCCCAGGGCGCCTACTGGGGGCCCCTGCTCTAGCAGCCCTGCAGCAGGACGTCCAGCAGACGCGCTGTGGGCCCCCACGCACCCGGAACCGGGACCAACAGCTGGGACGACGGTGGGAGGCCCCTGGCTCTGCCCGTAACCGGCCTGGGGCCTGAAGTCCCAGCTGGAGGACTTCTCGCCTGGGGCTGATTTTCCGGGTCTTCGCTCCCTGTCTGTGAACGGGGTGCCTTCAGGCTCGCCCCCTCACGGGGTCACTGACGTGGGCTACACAAGGAAGTGCACTGCCCGTGGCGGCTGCTGTCAGGTACAAGGGGCGATGCCTCCACACGTGGGAGCTCTCTTCAGGCTACAGAAGCTCCCACCCAGGAAACTCCCCATGGGAATAGAAGAAAGTGCATGCAGGGTCCCACCATGTCCTGATCGGTCTCGGGCGGTGGAATGCTGGGAGGACACCGGTGAGGGGGCCACACTCCCTGGCGGTGGCGGGGTCGCTGCTGGTGGGGACCCCGGTGGACGCACAGGGAATGACAGCGTATGTATGGGGGGCACACTCCCTGGCGATGGCGGGGACCCCGGTGGATGCACAGGGAATGACAATGTACGTATGGGGGGCACACTCCCTGGCGGTGGCGGGGTCGCTGCTGGCGGGGACCCCGGTGGACGCACAGGGAATGACAGCGTACGTATGTGCGCGGGCCCTCTGGCTACTCACACTGGAGGAGCTTTATGTCTATTAGCAGCTCCAGAGTCAGGAGAGTCACCACCAACACTACACAGGCTACCAGGACACAGTTGAGACGGGCACTGAGCAAAAATACCTGCCACACGGCCGCCCTCTTCCCGCAGCACGGCCTCAGCCAGGTGGACCTGCGGGGACAAGAGTGGGAGGAGGCGCTGAGGGGGGACCCCAAAGGCCCTGCCCGCAACCCCCCGTGTCCCTCTTCCCGCAGAAACACAATCTGTCAGGAGGCTGCGGAGCAGAATGACGAAGAGGGGTCTTCGGGCATCTGATCCACTCCCGTCAGAAACCCAGGATGCGGGGCAAAGGGGGTGCCTGTGAGGGCCTGGAACGCGGAGGTCAGAGGCCGGAAGGAGGCAGGGAGCCCTGCCTGCAGCTCCTCAGCCCGTCACGGAGGCTCAATGAGGGCGTCGCTGGTCTAAGCACCGCGCAGCCAGCACGAGCTGAGGACGACAACAGTGATGTTGATAGAAGGTCTCGGCCACACACTGGGCCACCCCCTCCTTCCTGTCCAAAGGGAGCAGACAGCCCGTGCCCAGCCCCCGAGGCCCCGAGGGCATCCCCGGACGGGGCTCCTGGAGGAGGTTTCCTCCTCAGTCGGCCCAGCGGAGCCTGCGGAGCCCCCAGCAGTGGCACAAAGCTCACGGCTCAAGAAGCCCGGCGGGAAATGGGCTCAGCCACATCTTTCTGGATCTTTCTACATCTCTGGGAATGAAAGGCACAGTCCCGGGCTCTGGGGAACGCAGACTGGGGTTCAGTCCCCAGCGCGGGACGCTGGCCCCAGGAAGGCAGCACTAACCTGGGAACAGAGGGGGAGAGGCCACCAGGGGACGGGTCAGGCGTGTCTGTCCAGGGGCAGGAAGGACGAGGCATGAAGCCTCCGCCTCCAGCTCAGAGGGGCAGAGGCGCAGGGAAGCCAGGCGCGCCCGCCCACGGGTGCCGTCAGCTGAGTTGCTTTTGTGCACGGAAGACCCTGAACTGTGAGAAGTTGGCTGTCACTGCTCAGCTGACCTGCTCTGCTGACCCATCCGTGTCTCACCTACCCCCCTTCCTCATCCCACAAAGTGACATTCCTGCCCCTTCCTGGGCCTATGTTAATCCTTCACACCTCTCTCACCCAGGCCCCGGCTCAGCACTTCCCTGGCTTCCTGTCAACTCCTCCCCCGGCCACAGGCACTGCAGGTCTCCAAGGCGACCCAGCTCCAACTCCACACCCTCTCACCCCAGGCTGATGGTCCGTGGCCCCTAAAACTGATGCAGATTCGCTGCCACCTGAAGGGTGAGCCCAGCACCGCTGCAGGGACCAGTAAAAGGGCCCTGTGAGGTCGCGTTCCAGGGCGGCAGCGCATGGAGCAGCCAGGCTGAGTTGGGTGCTGAGGCCTCCCTGGCCGCAGCGGCTTGGAGCGCAGGACCGACCGCGGGCACTGAGGCTCCAGCAGAGCCGAGCGGAAGGAGCAGACGTCTGCTGGCCGGGTGTTTGCAAACTGCAAACTGCTAACGAAGTGTCCTCTGAGACGCAGAAGAGTCCGACACTCCGAGGAGACGGGGTTTTAGCAGAAAAACAGGATGTGTCTCGTTCCCCAACATCCAAGTGGTTAAACAGCGACCCAAGGAGCTTAGTGGCCCAAAGGGAAGGCGGCACTGACTGCAGTTTGTTCTTAATCCTCACGCGAGGATTTGTTCTTATTTTTGCTTTTTCCTTTTTAGAGGGAGAGGAAGGGAGGAAGAGAAACATCAGTGTACATTGGTGTGCGGGACGATGCTCCAACCAAATGCACACCATCACACACTGCCCAACGCTCCAGCCACGGGCAGGCTGACTTCCCTTTTGCTGCTGTTGTTGTTGATTTCCGAGAGGAAGGGAGAGGGAGAGGGAAACATCCACGATGAGAGAACGACGGGTCGCGGCCTCCCGCACGCCCCACACGGACGGACGGACGGACGGAGCCCACAGCCTGGGCCTGTGCCGGCTTCATTCCTGAAGACATGCTCTTCCACCGCGTCAGCACCAGCCCAGCCAACCCCGAGCTCGGTGCTCAGGTGGCGCGGCCCTGAGCGGCCACCAGAGGGCAGCGTGTCCCCGTCTCTATCTCCTGTAGCAGGAGGGCAGCGCCAGGAGGGCAGCGCCAGGAGGCCACTGGGACTGCCAAGGCCGAAACACCAGGAGCAGATGGCATGTCCGGCAGGTGGGCCGTGGTCCATGTGCGGTTCCCCCGGTCGCTCCTGCGGCCGCAGAGAGATCCTGGGGGGAGGGGCCGCGGGCCGTGACCGCCTCAGCTTTAAATACTTAGGAGTCTTGGTAAACGCTTGAAAGAATGGCTCTAGAATATTACAGTGAACGCTGGCAAACGTCTGATGGCTCCTTCGTGTGAGGCAAGGCCACGGGAGTGGCTCTGAAGGGGTGGCTCCAGGTCACTGCTCTGTCAGGCAGCGTCCCACACCCGGTGCTGAACGAGCCCTTTCTGAGGGGGCAGGGCTGGTGCCTGGACGGCAGGGCTGCGGGATCCGGCTCTTACACGGCAGGGCTGCGGGATCCGGCTCTTACACGGCAGGGCTGCGGGATCCGGCTCTCACACGGCAGGGCTGCGGGATCCGGCTCTTACACGGCAGGGCTGCGGGATCCGGCTCTTACACTGCAGGGCTGCGGGATCCGGCTCTCACACTGCAGGGCTGCGGGATCCGGCTCTTACACGCAGAGCTGCGGGATCCGGCTCTTACACGCAGAGCTGCGGGATCTGGCTCTTACACTGCAGGGCTGCGGGATCCGGCTCTTACACGGCAGGGCTGCGGGATCCGGCTCTTACACTGCAGGGCTGCGGGATCCGGCTCTCACACGGCAGGGCTGCGGGATCCGGCTCTCACACGGCAGGGCTGCGGGATCCGGCTCTTACACGGCAGGGCTGCGGGATCCGGCTCTTACACTGCAGGGCTGCGGGATCCGGCTCTTACACGCAGAGCTGCGGGATCCGGCTCTTACACGGCAGGGCTGCGGGATCCGGCTCTTACACTGCAGGGCTGCGGGATCCGGCTCTTACACGGCAGGGCTGCGGGATCCGGCTCTTACACGCAGAGCTGCGGGATCCGGCTCTTACACGGCAGGGCTGCCTGATCCGGTTCGGTGGCTGCCAGGCCATCCAAGGGGAAGGGGGAGCGGTGGGGGGAGCAGGAGCTGGGGGGACTGTGGAGACCCTCAAGTCGTCCCAGCAAGTGCCCACAGGCAGTGCAGCCATGGGTCCCCAGGGGCCACAGCAAAGCCCACTGCCCTGTAGGCAGCCAGGCCAGGCAGCCCTGTCAGCCCTGCACTGAGATGCTCGCCCCTCAAGTCCCCAAAGGAACGAGGGAGGGTCCCAGGGAGTCGGAGCCGTCTGGCCGCAGGCATGGAATGAGGTCCAGAGCACCGCTGGCCTCGTGCCTGGCGCTGACCGTGGCGGCACTGCCGGGCCAGAGGCTAGGACCCTTATGGTTGCAAAGCTCTCCCACAGGGACGGAAACTACAGCCCTGCACCCGCCCCCCAAAATGCACACCATCACAGCACTGTGCCCAACGCCCCGAGGAGTGTGTGGGCGCCTGGCCTCACTGATGGGTCAGCTGAGCACACCGGGACCCAAGTGCAAACCTGGGACGGAGTCGAGACCCCACGTCCCCAAATGCTCCGCTTCTGTGATGCTGACGGGGCCGGACACACAGGCTCGGTGGTCTCCCCTGTGAGCAGAACACCCCGAGGGCCCCTGACTGCCCGTTGCTGTGTTTATGCCACAGGATTAGAGCTGCCCGAGGAGGCCATGGCGCTGACTGGAAACCAGCGTCTGCCCTGACCTGGGCCTCACTTCTGCTGGTGACCGACGCTGTCCAGCACTTGGGATGGGCCCCGAGCTGCCCCGAGCACTTCACAAACGTCACCGCATCGAGCTGCTAGAAAAGCAACTCCTTCCTGTTGACAAACACCCTGGGGAACAGCTTGCCTTTCCCATCTGCTCCCCATCTTTCCCATCTGGTGGCAACTGGTGTCTCCAAACAGCAGCCCCGTGGCTGAGCCCTCCAAGCGCAGCCCCCGAGCCTGTTTCCTGACCCCCCACTGGGAGCAGCATCACCCACCCTTGGGCTGCTGTTCCAGAATATTACCAACGGCTGCGAACCAGAGCACGGTGCTTACTGAGCACCTACCACAGACACCTCCGTGAGGATGGGGGTGGGGTACAGGGCCTCAGAAAAGGGCGAATGAGCTACATAGGGGAGGTGTCGGTAGTCCCTCCATCCGCATACGGTCAGTTACGGCTAAGTGCCCACTAGACGCCCCGCTGTGCTGGGTGCTGAGCGCCTTCCCTCACGGAGCCTGCGGCCTTGCGAGTGGGTTCTGGCTGTGCAATGAGCCCCGGGCCCAGCCCACTCGTGAAAAGCACAGAAATAAAGGGGAAGCAGGAGAGGGAATGAGCTCGCACGTAGGACTTCTCCAAACAGACAAGTATCCACCTGTGAGGACCATCGGCCCAGCGCCCACAGGGCCCCTGCGCTGAGTGTCTGCATGGGGGCGGGCTTCTTTCGCGTTCTCCTGGGGAGCCATCACCACAGCAGAAGTCCTGTCCGGCATCCTCTGTCCCTGTACCCACGTCCAGGAGGGAGGCCCAGCAGCACATCCAGGCCCAGGAATCCGGCACACGCGCCTAACAGGAACCCACCAGCTGGAGGTGAGAGGTGACTGTCACAGCCCTGGGGGGAACTGGAGAAACCAAGTTTCCACAGGAGCAGCTTCTTCGGTTCTGCAATCAGAGCTATAGGTCAGCCCTGCCCCAGGGGAGGAGGGAGGGAGGGGGGAGGAGAGAGGGGGGGGGGAAGCAAAGCCGGTGCTGCTGGGTCACGGAGTCTGACATTCGCTTGTCCCAGAATCAGGCTTCTTGCACCCTCAGAAATGACGAGCTCCGGCCAGGAGGTAGGAGCTGCCACCCCACTCAGGGGGTGAGCCCCCAAACCCCTTCTGGGGGCGCAATGGCCGACACGCACCGTGTGGGGGTTCAGGGCATTGCCCACACAGCTCTGTAAAGCTGCCTCGGGTTCAAGCCTGACCCAGGAGGTAATGGTGCTGCTGGACCAAGTTGGCCATGAGGCCAACTCCCACCTCTCGAGTCCTGTGTTGGGAACTGGTCCCGTCTGAGGCTCCCTGTGCCTGGCAGGGCTGCCTGGAGGAAGTGGGTGGGTGGCTGGGGAGGGAGCCAGTGGCTAGGTTCCAGGCACATGCGCTTCTCTGCCCAGCTCTCTCTGTTCTCAGCTGTAGTTCCGCAAATCCGGGGTTGGCCACGCTCCCCCTTCCTGTTTAGCCAAAGTCCAGATCCAAGGTGCCTCCGAAGATGACTGGGGCTCTAGAACCCCGTAAATTCAGCTCACTTTCCTTGGGGACCTGACCCTAAGTTTAAATTGCTCTCCCTCCCTCCGCCAGGCAGCGCTCAGAGGGGCTCTGCTGCCACCCAGTGGTGGCCCGGGTGTACACCCCGTCCTGGGAGAAGTGGGGCCATGGAGTTTATTGTGCTGAAAAATAATGTATCTGCAAATTTACTGCCTTCTTAGTCAGTGAAAAGTCTTTGCAGTTCTTGGACTCCGAGAAAGAGGCTAACCTGTGCTTATCAGAAAGGAACTTGTGATCTGAATTGAATCTTTATTTCCTCTGTGAGGCGTCAAGAACCCCCTGGAAGCCTGCATCTCCTGAAAATACACAGGGTGGAGGTCCCAGGGTCAGCCCAGAGCCCAGGGCACCGGATGCCAGAGGAAGGGCTGTGCTTTTACAGATGGGTCCTGATGACATCGAGAGAATGGGCTAATAAAGCTCATTTTTAACTTTTTCTCCTTTGAGGGAAAACGACGCAAAGATTTCACGAGGCAGGAAGGTCCAGGCTTAACACTGCAAAAGGTCATGGCAGGGACGAACCTGCCTTTTAACCCTGACCCACAAAAGGCTTTTCCTTCTCCTAAAAAGATGCTAAAGCTGTACCGAGTCCCGAGGCAAAGTGACTCCTCCCTTTAGGATGACTGCGGAGGGTGTGGCGTTAGCTCAGCGACGGGTCAGCCAGGACCAAGGCCTTGAGTTCTGCCCAGAGCTGGGTCCCCCGTGGCTCTCCCTGGACTCCACGCAGGTCTGGGGCCAGCCCCCGCCTTCCCCAAAGGAACTGGCTTCCCCTCTTCTAATCCTCATCGTAGCATGGCTCCCCCACCCACTCACTCCTGCAAGTCCTTCCTTCCCTCACAAACACCCGTCCCGGGCTCGCAGGCGCTGACCCCTGCCCTCGGGAGCCCCTGATGTCCCAGCAGAGCGCCCCCTGCCTCACCCCCAGGGACAGCTGCCCTTGTCCACGCGGCCTCCTCCCAGCTTCCCCGCGTGGGGCCTCGCGGTCAGACCTCTCAGAACCCTAAACTGTAACTGATGTCAAAGGCCGATCATCTTTCACTCCTGGCTTTCCTTATGCATTTGGCACAGACCGCCCCCCACCCCCCTGACTCGCATGAACCCCTGGAGCTCGCCACCCCGGCCTGGCCGTCCTCTCTCCCGCTGTGCGGCTCCCCGGCAGACTCGGCGTCTCTGGCCTTCCCCTCGGGTGGCCACCCGCCCAGCCCAGACCCGCACGCCGACCAGGCGGAGAGAAGGTGCAGCTTCCAGTCTGCACCAGGAGGCGGCTCCCGCAACCCGTGTCCCTCTTCCCAGGTGGTGGCGGGTCTCTGAGGAGAGCCCTGTGCCTCAGTTTCCCCGGTGAATGGGGTGATGTCCAACGCCAAAGAACGAGGACGAGAGCCCGGTTACGTGAAAGCACAAAGCCAGGTCAAGACGGGACACAAGTCAAACTGCATTGAGTGCACGAATCAGGTCAACTGAGCTCCTGGCCTTTCCCGATTAGAACGAGGCTCCAAAGGCAGACGGATCTGCTTCTGGATGGAGACTGGCTCTCTCAGAGGGCAACCCGGGGCCCTACACCACCAGGCTGATGGCGGCAGGAGAGGCCTCCCACGGGTGGACGAGGCTGAAGCTAGACGGCAGGGACTGAGGGCGAAGGGGAGGGGCCGGGGGACATGGCCCGTGTCCGAGAGGCTGTGGGGTTTAGCTGCAGAGGAAGAGCGAGGTGGTGGCAGCTACCTGGACCAGGGCGGGGACAGGGAGAATGTGGGAGGCCGGCCATGAAGGAGGCGGTGCGGCTGCACTGGTGAGAGCTCGTGGAGGTGGGAGGGGACTCACCCTCAGGCGGTGAGGAGCGCCCTGAAAGGGGCCTGGTGGTGGGGCGCAGCCCACCCATGACTGTGTCTGCCTCAGAGGAGAGGAGGTCGTCTGTGGGGGAACGGGGGCTCAGGACAGTGGAGCGGGCCTGAAACAGACCCCTTGGACCAGGAGGGAACGTGAACCAGGACCGCCGAGGACTGAGAAGCAGACCTGAGTGTGGGAGGTGCTGTTCTGGACTGAATGTTTGTGCCTCTGCCCCCCCCCCCCCCGAATATTCACAGGCTGAAGCCCCGACACCTGGATGGGATGGCTTTGGAGGCGGGGCCCTGGGAGGTAACAGGTTCAGATGAGCTCAGAGCGGCCGTGCTGGGACGAGTGCCCTGGTAAGAAGGGGAAGACACGCGGCTGGGCCTCACTCCGTCCCACGCGTGCAGCCACGGACAGAGCCCTCACCACCCCCGTCAGCACCTGCTCTCACTCCCCATCTCCAGACTTGGGAGAAACAAGCTTCTGTTGTTTAAGCCACTGGGTCTGTGCTCTTTGTTATGGCAGCTGGAGCCCCATGGCTGTCTCTCTTTTCCTCCCCGAGCCCCGCAGCCTGACCCAGGTGGTGCCCCGCCCCCCCGCCCCCGCCAGTGCCTGCCTGTCACGGGTTTGGGTGGACACAAGGGGGCAGGCACTGGACGGTGTGGCCAGCAGTGGCATTCCACACTCGGTGCATGTTAACCACGGTCTCAACGTGAGGCGCTGGAAAGGGACTGGTGACAAGGGAGCCCGTGGCGTGGCCTGCACCAGGGGCCAGCGGGTGGGGCTCTGCCTGTCTCTGTCACGGTGTGACCTTGGGCAAGTTCCTCCCACACCGGACTCTGCTGTCCTAGCAGAATATTGAGACCAGACACTTCGGAGCTGTGTTCCAGCTCCAACGTCCTGAGGTTCTAGGAAACTTTAAAACACTGAAGGGAAGTGAATGGTGGGGCGCCGGGTCCCCGAAGTCCTTCGTTTCCTGCGGGAAAGATCCAGCAGGAAGAGGGGTGTCTGACAAGACTTCACTGAAGCTTTTCAGAGACGAGCAGAACTGCGCGCCCTGTGCTCTGCATCAGGAAGGCAGGTGGGGATGTGGGGAAGCCCGGGAGATGCAGCCGAGCCCAGAGCCTGGTGCGTGCGGAGAGGCACTCCCCACCCCGCGCAGCGAGCTTCTGCTCACTTCCTCCTCCCTGGCTCCCTCCTGCGCCTGCTCCTCCTTCCTCTGGGAAGCTCTCAGGCTGCCAGGTGAGCCCCACAGAGCCCGCAGCAAGACAAGTCCCTTCACCACTGACTCCCGCTGTGGTGGCAGCCATGAGCAGAACAAGGATGATGTGAGAAGCTAAAAAAGGGCTAATTCCAATGTAACCCCGATATTTGGGGGTTAGCAATTGGAATCCATGCCAGCAAGCTCAGTGTACATTCTTGATAATTTATAATGAAGTCACCACCTCCTTCCCAGATACTGGTCTTGCCGAACCTGTTACAGAGGCCATAACAGTGTGCGCTGCCCCGGAGGGAGGGATGTTAACGCTGGGGCCAGGCCAGACCATCAGATATGGCCTGGAGAACCCCAACACCTGGAGGCCTTCTTGCAAGGCCTGCAAAAAGGACCGGAAGCATAATCCATGTTTGCAGGACAAAGGCCACAGGGAGATATAAAGAGAAGCCCTGCCTGTGCCTTTACTCAGATTTGGAAAGTTATTCCCTGAGTCCGCCGGCGTATTAAACAGTGGCCTTCCTTTTCTCTAAAGTGTCGCTTGGTTTTTCTTTGGTCTCTGCAACAGATGGGCCAGGTACAGAGTCACAGGGGAAAGCCAGGTGCCCAGCCATGGACAATCCATTGTAGGGACTCTTCCCCCCAGCACAGCCTGGCGGGTGGTGTGGGCCCCCTGACCTCCCTCCGAGAGGGAACATCTGTGCCTCCAGTTGTATTTCAGCTCCTGGCCGACAGAGAAGCCCAAGACCAGCCACCACTACGGTCAGGGCCCGCTGTACCGAACACTGACCCCGCCCTGGTGCCAGCCAGCCAGTGGAGACCACCACCCCGAGAGGACACACCTGGGAAACTGCAGACCATTCTACTGAGATCTTTCCCTGGGGCCCCCACCATCTCCACCCTTAGAGCCCTCAGGACGGGACCCAGAGCACTCTCCCGCCTGCCCATGCCGTTCCCTTCCCCCCTCCCTCCCACCCCAGGCAGTGACCATGAGCGCCCTCGCTCCCAAGCTCCAAGGGCCCTTCCTTTACCTCTACAACTGGTTCCTAAGCCCATCTCTCCCAGGAATTGCTTCTAGAACTGGGAGATCTACCAAGTAAATGTTCTCTCACAGGTGGGGCCTGCTCTGAATGCTCTCCGAGCCAGAACCCAGAACCAAGGGTGCTGAACCCAGGTTTGGTCTGACCACCGGTGAGGTCAGACACCTGGTGCCGTTCCGCTGCCTACAGCACTGCCACCGCCAGAAGCAGCTTTCCTGGCACACCTGGACACGCTGCCACCGCCAGGAGCAGCTTTCCTGACACACCTGGACGCGCCGCCACCGCCAGGAGCAGCTTTCCTGGCACACCTGGACGCGCTGCCACCGCCAGGAGCAGCTTTCCTGGCACACCTGGACGCGCTGCCACCGCCAGGAGCAGCTTTCCTGACACACCTGGACGCTCAGGTCAAACCAAGAGCCGCTGCCCTGTGGCCCCTCATCTGTACTCTCCTGATGGAAGAGCCAATCCAGAAGCAAAAGCAGTGATGCTAAGGCTGGGCCTCTGCCTCCTCCCGACCCCACGCCCACAGGCTGCAGGGTGGGCCTTGCCCAACCAGCACCCTTCAAGGCCTTCCTGTTGGGAGGTACTTGGACCCTGAAGGCTTGAGGCTGCACTACCGCTTGTGACCACCAGAGGGCAGCACCCCTCGCTCTCGCACCTGCCTGGCCCTTTTCCTGCGGAATCTGCCCAGCACTCGAGCAAATCGTATCTTCAGAGACAGCCACTGGGTGGCGTTTTTATGAGGTTTCACAACTGCTGGGCAATTTCTCTCGGGAAAACATTTTTTTTTGTTTGGAAAACAAACAGAGGGGACCCAAGCTGTAAAAATGTGACTCTAACCAATACTTTTCACCAGCTCCTAAGACAGCCCAGAACCTTCATTTTAGATCAAAGCAGAGCTGGCTGGCCAAGGGCAGTGCAGCCCAAGTCCACTCCTCAGGGGCTCGGTGACCCCCAGAGCGCGGTTGGGTGGGGCTCAGGGAGAATGTCAATCCTTAAACTTCACCCAGGGGCTTTCTCCGACTTCCGAGCCAAAGCAACCTGAGACACTGGTCTAGCGACGGCAGGTATTTCTAAGCCCAGAGCCTTTTTCCAGGGGAAAGGGCCTGCGTGGTCCCCCCACCCCACCCCACTCGGCAGCTCGGCCCTCTGCGTGCCCAGGGAGGTAGCCAGAGGCGGCCCCAGCACCTACCCTTCTCTTTGGTAATCTTCGTCCAGATTTGACAGGAGCTGCGAGCCCGCCGCGGAGAGGTCGACGGGGGCCAGGGGCAAGTCCCGATACGCAAAGCTCGCCAGCTGCCCCGCAGTGATGCTCTTGGTCTCCTCGTCCCCTTGCTGGGAGATGATCTCCACCTCCGACAGTCCTCCTCGGGCGGCCGGCCTGGGGGCGACAGGCAGTCCCCTCCGTGCAGGCCCTGCCCACCCGCGAAGGGGGGCCGCGGAGGATGACAGGGCCGACACTGGGGAGCTCTGCCGCTCAGGTCTCTTCCCAACACTGAACTCACCAGCCACGCTCAGCGGCAGGTACCCAGGAGCTGAGAGCCGAACCCGCCTGCTTCTCTTCTGCTGAATTGTCCGGGTAACCGAGGGAACAGTGGGGTTTCCATCTGAACACCACAGGGGAGCTGCCCGAACCGCCGGGTTCACCAGGCCCGACTCTGGTTGTGGGTCTGTTTCAAGCCCTGCTTTTGCTCCCCGTCAGGCACAGACAGCCGCGCTCCTCACCGCGGGGCATTTACAAACAATCCCAGGCCCTCAGACGGCACAGCCACGGGCGGCCAGTAGATGTTTATGGGGGACCCAGCTCTTCCAGATGTTTTCAAATAAGGAGTTCTGGGTTGAACCTGATCTTCTCTGCGGGTCTCAAGAAAACTAAGGATAATGAACTAAACACACAGCGCTTTCTGACCAGTGGGGTATTCCTGGGGGACTGAGTTTCTGAGACTAATAATATTTAGCTCTGCTTGGCTGGCGTGGCTCAATGGTTGAGCGCTGACCTAGGAACCAGGAGGTCAAGGTTCAATTCCCAGTCAGGGCACATGCCCAGGTTGGGGGCTCGATCCCTGGTGCGGGGTGTGCAGGAGGCAGCCAATCAATGATTCTCTCTCATCGTAATGTTTCTATCTCTCTCTTCCTCTCTGAAAGCAATAAAAATAAGCAATAATGTCGGGTAATGCAGCTGGCCACCTGGAGTCCTCCGTCCCCAAAGGGCCGGAAGGAGCCGCGGTTGCCCCGCAGCTGACTGAGTGCCAGGAAGGGAGCAGTTCCGTGCGACTTACTGTGGGCTGCTCATGTTGAGGCGCAGCCAGAGCCACGGTTTCCGTGGGGTCTAGTGGGGCTCGGCTGCCTGGAAGCCTGTGGTCAGCATGTCCCAGCGTGAGTTCTCCCAGGCCCACACGCACGGCACCCTGAAAACAGACAATTGGAGAGGAATTATTACGCTCGGGCCATTTAAAAATGGAAGTCCCTCACCATAATGCCGAACAGATTCCCAGATTATCTCCTGGGGGACAACAGGCAGGAGTGACAGCAATTTCCTGTCACACACAGAGGGCAGACGAGCCAGGATGGGCCCAGGCTCTCCGATGTTTAATCCGCAGCTCTTCCCACCACCCGCGCCTCAGGAAACCGGGTAATTTTATGTTTCGTTCTCCATTCGTTTCCACCTAGTGACGCTGCCTCCCCTCTCTTCCGGCCCCCTCTCCTCCTCTGGGGGTCTCAGTGAGGAAGGCCGGAGCCCCTCCCTCCGTTCCCAGGGGTCAGCTCTGCCTGCTCCCAAACTGTGTGTAAGCGGAATCACACATGTGGCTTATGTGTGTCTGGATTCTGCAGCTCGCACGTGGCCTGTGAGCTTCATCAGGCGTCTGCACTGATCAGTGCTTGCTCCTCCCTAGCATGTGGCTGCGCAGCACCCGATTCTATGGAAATTCCACAACGTACATGCTCATTCACCTGTTCATGGGAACTTGAGTTGCTTCCAGCTTTGGCTCTTATGGAAAAGTTGTCAGAACATTTTTGTGTAAGTCTTCTATATACATACTAGGGCCCGGTGCACGAAATTCGTGCAGGGGGCGGGGAAGTCCCCTCAGCCTGACGTGCACCCTCTCACGTTCCGGGACCCCAGCAGCTCCGGGCTTAGGCGCCGGCCTACAGGCTCAGGGTGGCCTGGCTCCCGAGGACGCCTGTCCCGGGGACACAGGCCTTTTGGTGCTGGTGCGCGCACAAGCGGCCACAGGACGAGGACCTTCACCGGCACCCGCGCCATGGCGATGTGGGGGGAAGCTCTAGGCCCCGACCCCAGCTCCCCAGCGCCAGTGCGTGTGCAAGCGGCCACGGGGCCAGAACTTCCCCAGCATCACCAGGGCGACGCGGGGGAAGTACCTGCCCCGCCCCAGCTGCCCGGTGCCTGTGTATGCAAATTAACCTGCCATCTTTGTCAGGTTAATTTGCATGTCCACTCTGATTGGCTGGTGAGCGTAGCAGAGGGATGGTTAATTTACATGTTTCTCTTTTATCATATAGGAATATATATATATATATATTTTTTTTTCCTCCCAATTTCAGGTAAGTAACTGGGAGTAGAATTGCCAGTTCACGGGACAGGTGTATGTTTAACTTTGTAAGAAACTGCCAACAGTTTTTCAGAGGGAGCTCCAGTTGTTAAGTCTTTTTAAAAATGCAAGCCCACCTCTGGCTCCTTCCAGACACGCTCGATTCCACAGGAAGCGGAAGCCTCAGGACCAGTGTGCCCGCTGTCAGCCCGTCCACATGCCCCCCCACCCGTCACACCCGCCTCCCTCACGGCACTGGTTCTTTCACAGCTTCGCAGAAGCCCTTCCCCCCACTCGGCCTGAATCCCACTTCCTTCCTCATCTGCATAGCGAGTGCCAGCTCCTCCTTCCGGAGGTGCTGGCTGATGACTTCACACCTGCACCCACCCCTGTGAGCTAACTGCTGGACTGCGCCCTCTTCGACACGGGTATAACTCCACTATCCTGCTCCGCTCCACGCAGGAGACACACACAGTTTACTTCATCTGAGCGGCTCCTGCAGACACTCCCTCCCTCTCAGACGGGCCTGAGAAGCGGGGGCTGAGGGAAGGCAGCCAACAGAGATGCGGAGATGGAGCGTGTCAGTAAGTTCTGGCACAGGCGGGAAGGGACAGAGCAGAGACGATCAACTTTGAAAAGGATAATTCTCCCTCCAAGGCGGAGAAAGAGCAGGAAAGCGAGGAACGCTCTAGAAAAGCACTCCGCCTGGTGGGAGAGGCATTGTTATGGCCGCGTGGCTTAGGGCCCATTTCCCCGAATCTTCACGGTGCATGACCGCCACGTGTTGTCCACGTGCCGTGGATTCTGCCCACGATCACAGCGAACCGGCCTGGCGCTGGAATTCCCACTAAGTTTCTACAATAACTTCAAAGTATATGGTTTTAGGTCCAATTACAGACACTTTACAATTCACAGAGCAAGGGCTCAGGAAATGAGAACACGGAACCCCAGTCCATCTGACGCCCCCGCCAGGCACCCAGGCAACGTGGCTCCCTTCTGCTCCCGATGCTCTGCTCCTGTGCAGCCCGAGCACCCAGGGCCTGGCCCCGTGGAGGGGGGACAGGCAGTGTCTGCCCAGGGGGTGGGCTTACTCTGCACAATGTGCCGCCGGGGCTGGTATGAGTGAACGGGGACCAGGAAGGGACATGACTGTCCTCCGACTGAGAAGGGAGGACAGAAAGAAACCGACACAGGCTGCGTCACAGGTTAACTCAACTGAAGACGGTTCAGTGGCCTGTCCAGTCAGGGGTGCCAGGAGAGTGCTGTGTCCCCACTGGGGAGGCCTGCTCTCCTGGCACCTTCTGAGCTCGGTGTACAAACGCCAAGATGGCGGTGACTTGGGGGCTGACTGGAATGATGGTGGAGCAGCCCACAGGATAGAACCGGAGAAAAGCAGCCTTTGGAATCATCACCGGTGTCCATGGGAAGCTCCTAAGCTGTGAGGGCCCTGGGCCAGGGGACAGGTGGCCACACAGCAGGGACAGCAGGGACAGCAGGGGCTGGGGGACCAGGCCCATCTGCAAGCAGTGCTGTGGGGTGATCTCAGCTAGGAGGCAGGCGATCCGCGGGCGGGCGGGGCGGGCAGGGCGGGGCGCTGCTCCGGTTTGGAACCGTGCCTTCGGGATCGGACCAGCAGACAGCGCTGTGAGCCCTGCTGCCACCAGGTGGCCCCTGACGATAACCAAGCTCCTCTAAGCTCTCAGCTCGCGCACTTGCACCAGGGCCTCCGTGGTCTGTGCTGCAGGTGACTCCTTTTATCAGGGCTCTGCCACCCGAGCTTTCTCCAATTTCAGGGGGCACCGTGGCTGAGGAGTGTTTACCCAAAGTCACAGAACCTCAGAGCGTGGCTTTACTTGGAAGCAGGTCTGTAGTTAGATAAGGTCATCCTGGATCGGGGTGGACCCTAAGCCCCAGGACAGTGTCCTCCTGAGGCAGAAGGACTGCTGAGAGCCACCAGGAGGGCTCCCCTAGGCTCTAGAGGGCGTGTGGCCGGCTGCCACCCTGATCGTGCCCCTCTGGCCTCCAAAACTGCAAGGCAATAAACGTCTACTTTTTAAAGGGCCCAGTTGGGGGTTCTCTGCCACAGGAGCCCCAGGGTCCCACACAGGCGCTGAGGTCCTTCCCCTAATCAGCACGTCAGGAGCCCTCCAGCCCGAGTCCACCCCCACGTCTAAGGGCCGAGAAAAGAATGCCTGTTGAACAAGTGCATTCCCAGACTTTAAACGGAGGGAGAAGCATGATGCCCCTGAGGCTGTTTACAGGAAGGCTCACCAGGGCTTGAGCTGGCAAACGTACCACGTGCCAGGAAGCGGCCTCGAGTTCTCACTCCCGACGGTGAGTCAACCTTAGCATGATCAGCTACGTCACGCTCATCAAGCTCACAGGAAATAAAAATCAGGCCGGAAACGTATTCACCAGCGCACGTGTGAGACGGAGAGAAAGCTTCTCCTCCACCATCCCAAACGCCAGGGTCGAGAATTAGCAGCGGTCAGTTATACGGGGTCCCAGCAGGGAGTCGGGGTGCCTCCCAGCCAGCAAAGGGGAGGGCCCGTCCCAGCCCCAGAGAAGCCCCGTGACCGTCCCTGCACCACCACCGCTGTCTCCAGCTCCACGAGGTCAGGCCAGGCAGCCTGAGCAAAATGGAGTGTTTGTTTTAAGTCACTGTGTTTTGGGATAATTTGTTAGGCAGCAATAGTAACCATGACATGCCCAGCAAGTGTGGCTCAGTGGTTGAGCATCAACCTATGAACCAGGAAGTCACAGTTCGATTCCTGGTCAGGGCACATGCCCGGGTTGCAGACTCGAACCCCAGCAGGGCAAGTGCAGGAGGCAGCCGACCCATGATTCTCTTTCATCATTGATGTTTCTATCTCTCTTTCCCACTTCCTTCCTCTGAAATCAATGAAAATATATTTTAAAAAAATAGTAACCATAACATCCCAACTGAGAAATGTTAGCCTGAGATATTAAAATGAGGAATGAAAAAACAAAACAAAACCTAGTATATGGTGCCAGTGTGTCTACATAAAATTGGGGGGGTGGGGGGGGTGGCCACCGTATGTGTCCCTAGTCAAGGCCCGACTTCCCCCGGAGCGTCCTCCATCTCAGTGACCTCATACCCACAGGAGCTGGACACCAGCCTTTCTCCGATATCGGCCCAGGAGCTGAGGGTCCAACGCAGACACCTGGCTGGCCCAGGCCAGTCGTGCCACAGATGAACAGCTGTCGCAAACACTGCATACGTCTACGGTGTGGCACCCGATAACGCTGCGTCTTCGGATGCAGGCCCAGCTAGAGCTGCCGGCAGCGCCTAATTAAGGGTTTCGGCTGCACGAAGCTTTTGCCCTGCCAAGTGCCATTCACCTACGCGTGACTTTTCCAGCAAACACCACCGAGGTACAATGTGTGCAGCAAGCCTGCGTGTGAGTTATCTGCCCTGCTGGTTTAAGGCGTCGCCTGGTTTGCAGAAGAGAAGTGATTCTGAGACCCCCAAACCACAAAGCCCAGTCCGGTCCTGAACACGAGAGGATGTCAGGGTCCAGGAGAGAGAAGGGCCTTGTCCAGGGCAGGACTCCCACTTTGTGCAACAGCTGGGGCCGGACTCCAGGAATCGGATCCTTAGTGCGAGGCTTCTTTTCAGAAGCCGGGATGTGAGCTTTGAAAAAGGAGAGTAACGAGAAACAGCCTCCATGTTTCTCAGCAAGTGTTCAATGACATGGTGGCTTTCAGTCTACTGGAATGCTCCTGCCTTTACAAAGAACAAAGGCTGTCCACTGGAGGTGGGGTTTCTGTTTGTCTGTTTTAATCCTCACCCGAGGATATTTTTCCATTGATTTTTAGAGAGTGAAAGAGAGAGG